GAGGCCGCGTCCCACATACAGCAACTAGAAGGATGTGCAACTATGACATACAACTATCTACTGGGGCTTTGGGGGGAAAAAATAAATAAATTAAAAAAAAAAAAAGAAAGAAAGACAGGACCAGATAAAGAGCCCCAGCTTGTGGCAGGCTTGGGATGTGTAAATTTCCTTCTCTAAAGAGTTTAATTGGGGCAGAGTTAAGTAAAAGTTTCAGGAATACCTGCCAGTCACAGTATGGGCACGTGCAGAGCCAGGGCAGAACTAGAGCTAAAAAAGGACCAGACAGGGTATGAGCCCAGCCCAACACAGGAAGGAGGGGCTGGGGCCTAGGACAAGATAGAATCAAACTCCGGTGTGTGGGGCAGGGGGAATGGGGAGGGATCCAGGATCCATTAAGAGCTTGAATCCTTTAGCCTAATGACAAAGCCCCTCACTACCGGCCCCAGACTTCTGCTCTGGCCTCACCTCCCACCACTCAACACAGCCTACTCTCTGTCCCAGTAATAATGAACCGCTTGTAGCTCCCTAAAGTGTCACCCTGCCCCCCAATCCAAAGTCATTAAAAGGAGTCCCATGGCCACTGGCACTTTAAAGCCCTTCCCCAAAAGAAAGGCAAGGACCTCTTCAGGAGAGCTCAAGGCCTTGGCATTCTCCTAAGATTGCTCTTCTCTCAAACGAGAGGCAACCATGCTTGACTCTGCTGCTCCTGTAATGCCGTTAGGCAGCCCTCCTCATCGCCGCGTATCAGGATATATATATAATATGTTCACACACACCGGCTACTAGCGAGGGAGCAACGGAGTACTGCCACCTCAGCCACTGGGAGAGATGTGGAAAACCCCTGCTCCCAACACACCCACCACTTCCCCAGGAATGGGAATCTCTCCTGCCCGTCATCTGGCATAGGCCTCCAATACTTCAAAGGACAGCACCAAGTTTTTCTCTGACAAAATCTGGCCTAATTTTTAAATGCCATTCAACACTTTGAGGTGGATCTAGGGGATAATTTCAGCATTTCAGGGCTTTCGTTTTTCTATTTTACCTACTTTTAAACATAGTTTGTACTTTGGGCAGCCCCTATTCCTTTTTCGAAGTAGGCTCATAATTTTTTTTTTACAGGCAAGCAGTAGGTGTGGGGAACTGATAGGGCCATCTTTGACGCTAGATTCAAAGGCAGTGGACAATCGCAGAGCAGCACAAAGCCGGGATGGGAGCGCACAGATACAAATCCCGCGCTTCAGGCTCGAGCGGGGCAGGGCTCCCTAATGCTCTGGCGACACGGGTACAGGTAGGAAAGTGAGGTCCACAGGCTCTACAGCCCCTACAACACACACACGGTCTCGAGCAGATCACACACATAGCTGCCGACCCACCGTCGCGAGGAGAGCTTCACGGGCACAGATAGCAAAGTGAGGTTTCACACACACACACATGCACACGAAAAGTGACATCACATACACGCGCACACAGCCGCGCGGAGCCAAAGTCTAGAACGAAGACTCTCCGACCTCCCTCCCGCCGGGAAGACCCAGCCTCGGCAGCACCCTTCCACTCCTCACCCGCGCCAGGCGCGCCTCGGGGCGGCTCCCAAATACCGCGATAGCTCGGCCACTCCTCCCGCTGCTTCACTCAGGCAACGATACAAGAGCCCCCGGCAGCGTACGTGCTCGTGCAGCCTTCTGGGAGTTGTAGTCCACTTCTCTTCCTCCTGGTAATTGTAGTCCACTCGGAGGAATCCTGACGCAAACCCTGGCTTCCTGTTCTTGGTCTTTGTTGTGCTCTGGCCTGGGCCTGGTCTAATTGTCGGACCTCCTCACTCCCCACCCCTATCCCACACAGACACAGTGCTCGTCACTGCGGCACTTAATACTGAATATTTACTGAGCCTCTTCTATGTTTTAAGTGCACAGGATACAGAGATAAATCGTACTCTTCCCCGCTCTTGAGACAAGCAGGTACACAGAAAATTAGAGAATAAGGTCCATGAGGAAGCAGCAGAAAATAAGCAACAACTAGAGGCAGGGAAGCCCTCTCAGAGAAGGAGTCATTCAAGGTGAATCTTGAAGGATGACCAGGAACTTAGAGTGCCAGGACAGCACTCCAAATGGAGGACAGGCATTGGCAAAGGGAAAGCGAGAGAAAGCACGTTGGGTATGCTTCCCTGCCTTCTTCCTTCTCCAGCATCCACAGGCCTCTGGATCCCCTTGTGTTCCATAGAGGCTGCTCAATCAGCTGCCAGTCTCCATCGATGAGAGCTGAGGTGGGGCCCTCTGTGCTCTACCCTCGCCCTTGCTTGCAGGGCCCATCTGCAAACCACCCCCCCCCACCCCCCACCCCCCACTGATCCAGCCTTCTACTTCCTCCTCAGGGAACTCAGAACTCCTCCTCCTACAGGCAGGAGGCCTCTGTGGCAATTTCAAGGCCTACTCAAGGTTGCCTCAGACGAAGAACCACACAGAGGTGTGTGACTTTTGGCCCCTGGGAATGACAGGCCACAGACCCACTCGACCCCCCTACCTCTGTGCCCCACAGCCCATGGTGAAGCTCCACACAGGCCCACATGAAGACACATGACACAGCAGGACACGCAGGGCCAAATGTTCCCCTTTATTATGATTCACTCAGTTACCACAGACAGACACACTGGCTCAGGCAGGTCAACTGCCAATTGGAGAATGGTCTGTCTCCCAGAAACAAGGAGCAGTGGGCACCAGCAGAATGCAAAGGCAGGTCACTGGCTGGCTGCAGACCTGAGGATTCCCAGAACTGACCTGGGCCTTCCTCCACCCCACCCCCAAGCCAGACCATCCAGCAGAGTTAAATCTGTGCCCAGCCCCCACTTCTCATACTGGTTCCTCCCTGGAAAGTGCATAGTTGCCTGGAGATGCAGCATCCCAGGGCCTGGACAAGCTGGGCCACACACAGGTAGCAGGCCTTCCCAAGGGCAGAACCAGGGCATGACCATATAGGTCTGAGCCAGGAAAGAGGAAAGGCAGAGAGGACAGGAGATCGACTGGAGGTGGCATCCAACAGGTCATGGATGTTGGGCTGGCAGCTGGATCACAGGCCTCCTGGAGCGACCAGAGAGACTAAGAGAAAGGGAGCCAGGGGTCTAGGGTGGGGGAGAGGGAAGTGGAGGAAGAGCCTAGACCTGGGTCTCTCTTCAGGTACTAGGGGCTGTGACCGCTTTCCAGAGAGACAGTGATAGAGGAGAGAGCCAGTGATAGAGGAGAGAGCCAATCACACTCTGGCCCAAGCCTAAGGGACCATTAGGAAGAGAACTTTCTGGAGATCCTGGCTCCTCTTACAGGCAAGTGAAGTACCTGCAGCCCAAAGCTCAGGATGGCACCAGGAAGCCCAGGGGTTGGGTTCTAAGCTGGAGCCAGCCCAGAGTGGCCAAGCGGGGTTTCGTTTTCAGGCCAAATAGCCCAGGTAGAAGTGGGCGTGGGAAACAGGCAGCTGCTACTTGGGTAGGAACCCACTCCCCTACAGGCCTGAGAGAGAGCCAGGGCCTCCACCAGCAACATTCTCACGATGCTTGGAATAGAACAGCCCCACAGGCCTGAAATCACTGTCCTGGAAGGGAAAGGGGTTCTGATAGGGTGAGGAAGGGCCAAGAACCAAGTCTGGTAGGCAGAGGGGAGCAAGTAATTTTCATTAAAAAAAAAAAAAAAGGAAGAAAAAGCTGGAGAGCCTCCCCTCCCACCCCACCTACCCTGAAATCCCATTCTGGCCATTGTGCTTGTGGACAGGATTGGGCCTGTGCTTCTCCCTGAGCCCTGAGTTCAAATGCCCAGAACTGCCCTGTGACCAAGAGCAAGCTGGGGTGGCAGAGGCATGCTCCCCTCTCACTGGGCCCTGCCTGTCTTCTCTGCTCTCCCCTCCAGGCCCAGCCCTCTGAGCCAGACCCAAACAGAACAGCTACTGCTCCCAGGAATCCAATGGTCCTTCAGAGATACCTAGCACCTGCCCAGAGGGCTTGGGCCAGCCAGACCTCACCCAAGGACCAATAATTATTTACATACCCTCTGCTCCAGCTGTACCTTTATACCTGAAAATTGCCTGGACACCATCCAGCTCTTCAGGGAAGGCAGTGGAATCTGCCCTTGTGGACGGCAGACACCACTGGGCACGTGGTGGGGGAAGGTAGAAGAATCAAGCCACAGCAGCTGGGGGTACAGGGAGGGACATAAGCAGAGGGGCTCAAAGGGTCTCTGGGAAGAGGAGGGGAAGCAGGGCAGCGAAAAGAGGAGCCTGCCACTGCAGGACAAGCTCTGAGAGTCAAGGAGATGACCCTGCATTTCCAGTCCCTGGGAGTCAGGTACCCAGGTGGGCTCTGCATCTCTGGCTATGTGCCCTCTCACATCAGGGCTAAGGCTCAGCTTCCCTGTCTGCTTCCTTGATCTGGGAATGGGCTCAGTCTCAGGAGCAGATACAACTGGGACACTCAGCCTTGGGGAAGACAAAGAAAAGCCACATAGGGAAGAGAGAGACCCTGGGCGGGAGAAGAGACCACAGGGAATCTGACAGCAGGACGAGAGGAGAGGAGGAGGTGGTTGAAGGGGAGGAGGTGGTTGAAGGGGAGGAGGAGGTTGAGGGGGAGGAGACTTGGATAAGAAGGAGCAAGGGAAGATCCCCTGCCTGTCCCACACTCCCACCTACCACCCCCATGAGTGCTAAATACTGTTGCTTCCCAGTAAGACCAAAAGTGGAAACAGTTTCAGCTCGTAACCCTGGGGAGGGGGCCAGGCTCTTTGCTATGCCTCCCCCTGCCCCATGATGGGTTCCTGGGTCAAGGTCAGAAGGGGCAGGCTGGTGGAGGATGGAGGGCTGGTTTAGTTCTAAACATACATCTAGCACCACAACAACAGAGACCTTCACTGCACACTATTTCACAGGGGGACACGGACACAGCTACTACCACACAGGACAGCTCCCCTCGCAGCCCACAGCTCTTAGAGCGCTGAGAGCAGAATCCAAAGGGTGTGTGTTGGGGGGTGAGGGGGTAGACATATACATATACATATACATATACATATATATATAACTCTGATTCTTTGTACAAAGTGGGGGAGGAGAAAAGGGAAGGGGGAACCCTGCTTGGTCACCACAACAGACGATGTGGCTTGAGCCCCTGTCCCACTGGCCCCCAGCCCTGCCTCCCGGTAGGCTCAGCTGGCTCACATCTCATTGGAGTACGTGTAGTTGGGGGTGGCGGAATACTGAGTCTGCGGCTGATTCATGGCACCCTGGGCCGCCCCCATGGCTGCATTCTGGGCCGCTTGCTGCACATGCGGGTTCTTCCACGCCCCCGTGGTCCACTCCTCCTGAGCTTTGCTGAAACTCCCCCCACTGCCCCGGTAGAATTTATGAACCTGTAAGAGGAGGAGCACAAGGCAGTGTTAATCAAAGGGAAGAGGCAGGCCATCCAGGAAAGACATGGGAGCCAGAGACAAGTCACTGTAAAAGCCAGTCCTCCCTCCTTACCCGTGCCCTGTGCACTAGGAGCAAAGTCCACCAAGCCATTCCAGAGTAAGTCCCTTGGAAGACCTCTGGGTCCTCCTATAACTTGAACAGATCACAGACCCAAATCCACCCTCTCACCCTTGAGGTGACCACGTACCATGCTGAGGGCGATGAAGGAAAAGACGGCCACGACCGTGAACATGACAGTGGGAATGAGCATCACCACCGCTGAGCCAACATTTGTTCCGAAGAAGGAGATGGTAGCGATCCAGCCACTGCAGGAAGAGGCCAGCTGTGGGGCTGCCCCTCATGGTGACAGGTACCCAGAGCCACCCCACTAGAGCAAGGGACCATCTCACTGTCACAGGGAGGGACCATATCACTGGATGCAAAGGGACCATCTTACTGATATCTAGGGCCTGTGTCAGTGGTTCAGGAAGAACCCTTCCCCATGGCTCAGAAGACAAGCTGCTCAGACATAAGGCTTCCTTCTCTCAGGTTCTCCCATGATGCCTGATACCCCTCAGCACCCCCAAAAACTGCAAGAACCACTGCAAGGTTCTCCTTCCCCTCTGATGCTATGGCTGTGTCTACTACACTATCCTGAATCCTGTCACACTTCCAATAACTCATGGTGTCCCCACAGGCTATGCAGCTTAGCACACAGAGGTAAGCAAAGGACACGCCCAAGGTGCCACCCATGCTGGCCCTGGGTCAGTCCCAGACACCCCAGTCTCTTACCAGACGCCCCAGCCTGGGATGCCCACAGCCTGGATGATGCTGATGACCAGCTGGGCCATGAAGGTGAAGAAGAATGCCATGAAGCTGAAGGAGCTGTCAGTCCTGCAGCAGAGGAGATGGTTCCCATCACCTGGGCAGAGAGCCAGGGCTTCCCTGCCATCAAGACCTCCATGCCCTTCCAAATTTAAGTGAATATACAATGGACAGAAGACATTTAAAGGCCTTAATTGAGAGGCCAAAATAGGACAGCATTTACCCATTGATCTTCACAAGTTTCCATGTGTTAGGCCTGACTGTGCAACATTACATAGGGAGAGATCTCCTCGTGAATGCACCACTCACTGGTACATGGATGGTTGGCCCCATTGGCACAGAAATAGATTGGGTC